GCTGCGGTTTCCACAGCAACGGGCGTCGCCGGCCGACAGCTCTCCAGGCTGACAAACGACCCAGCAGCCCGGTGGGGGCAGCGGGGGATGGGGCTGGAGCGCCAGCCTGCGCTGCGGAGGCGGGGGGTCCCATTAGCAGTCCGCTCACGACTGTGATGCAGTGAAAATGCATCTCCAGACAGGGGTCTGTGCAGAAGGAGAGAGAGGGAAAAATAGCCTGCGGCTTTCTGCAGCGGCTGTTGGAAATCCCACATCAGCCCAAAGGGCCACTGGTATCATCCACCTGACCTGTTCTCCAAGTTACTCATTCCTTAAACCTCTCATTTATTCTGCAAATGCTTATTTAATTAAATAGATGATGCACATAGATAATTCTATTGATATAGGAATTCTGTACCTATTTTAAGCTCCAGGCTTTGTTCCGGCGATACCATGGAGGATGAAGGAAAACAAAAAACAAAAACCCGCAGTGCCTGCTCTAATGATGCTTATGACCACGTCTTAGATGCCGCAGCACACACGTGGGAAAATATGTAGGGGGATGACAGGCGTTGATAAGACCCGGAAAGACATCGCCACCGATTTAGTTTTCTTCCTTTATGACAGTAACACATTTTAAATGGTTGCATCCTAACTCCGTGGTCGTAATAATCTTACAGGAAATACTGCGTAGTGAAAATTCAACCTCCCCTGTCCCAAGCCATCACTTACCCTTCCTGGAATGTGTAACATCATTCTTTTTTTTTTTCTATTGAAGTATAGTTCATTTACAATGTTGTGTTAATTTCTGGTGTACAACACAGTGGTTCATTTATATACACACACGTATATTCCTTTTCATATTCTTTTTTCATTATAGTCCATTACAATGTATTGGATATAGTTTCCTGTGCTATACAGTAGAACCTTGTCGTTTGTCTATTTTATATATAGTAGTGTTCACAAATCCCAAACTCCCAATTTTTTCCTTCCCACCCCCTTTCCCCTCTGGTAACTGTAAGTTTGTTTTCTATGTCTGTGAGCCTGTCTCTGTTTTGTAAATAAGTTCATTTGTATCCCTTTTTTTTAAGATTCCATATATGAGTGATGTAATATGGTATTTTTCTTTCTCTGTCTGGCTAACTTCACTTAGTATGATCATTCATCTCCTGGTCCACTCATGTTGCAGCAAATGGCATTATTTCATTCTTTTTTATGGCTGAGTACTATTCCTCTGTGTGTGTGTGTGTGTGTGTGTGTGTGTGTGTAGTAGTAGTAGTAGTTAGTATCTGCAAATCTTGAACTCCCAATTTATCCCTTCCCACCGCCTTTCCCTCTGGTAACCACAAGTTTGTTTTCTGTGTCTGTGAGTCTCTTTCTGTTTTGTAAATATAAATAAGTTCATTTGTATCATATTTTAGATTCCACATGTAAGTGATATCGTGTAATATTTGTCTTTCTCTGTCTGACTTACTTCACTCAATACAATAATCTCTAGGTCCATTCATGTTGCTGCAAATGGTATTGTTTCATTCTTCTTTATGGCTGAGTAGTATTCCATTATATAAATATACCACAGCTTCTTTATCCAATCATCTGTTGATGGACATTTAGGTTGCATCCATGTCTTGGCTATTGTATATAATGCTGCTGTGAACATTGGGGTTCAGGTATCTTTTTGAATTAGAGTTTTCTCTGGCAGCTGGCTCCAAAGCTCAGGGGTTAGAACACTGGTCTTGTAAAGTTTTCTCTGGAGACAGGTAATCATTTATCTTAAAATAAACAAGTGGAAAAGGGAGGATGTATCTTTCCAGAAATCGAAAATATTCCAAATTGTGAAATATGTACAAGGCCAGCCCACTTTCTTCCTCACATGGCCTAGGTAACCTCGTGGGTGTGTGAGCTGGGACCTTTGCCATGGACTTGAGAAGCTCTGAGAGCCTGGGTTGAGCTTCTCATCCTGGTGAGCGATGCCCTCCCACCCCCAGGTGTCTCCTCCCAGCTCACTTCTCCCCTCCCTCGGTTCCAGAATCAGACAAAGAGGTCTATTCCTGCCTGGACACTAATGCCAGCCTTGCCCACCTCACCAACCCGCCTTCCTAAAGGGCTTACCCTGCCCACAAAGAGCACCCTCTGTCCTCCTCTCCATGTCCTGGGTCACTCTTCCTTTCAGAAAGCTTTCCTTCCTCCAAACAATGCATTGACACTTCCATACATTTACAAATATTTATCCATGAAGCACCTACTATGTGCAGACCCTGTGATGGGTGGGGGAGGGAGGAGTGCAGGAGGAAACCAAGAAGGACAGTCTCCTTTCTCACAGACTGGAATTCACTCTGTAACAAGGTTGGGGGCAGATAGTAAAAGAGAAACAAGGGGTGGGGGACGTGGGAGACGTTGGTGGAAGGGTAGAAATTTCAGTCGTTCAGGATGAGTGTGTTCTCGAGAGCTAATGTACAACGTGGTGCCTGTAGTTAATGCTGCTACACAAGTGTACACTTTGTGTACTTGACTTTTGCTAAGATCCTCAATGTTCTCACCACAGATGTGCACGAAGTTGTAACTGTGAGGCAATGGATGTGTTAACTTGATCGTACTAATTGCTTCACAATGTATACATATGTCAAAGCATCACGTTATACAATTACAACTCAGTAAAGCTGGAAAAAAGACATGAAGAAGGTAACTTCAGGTCCTAGCGTGCCATGCATAAAATAAAGCAGGGTAATGAGTGGAAAGTGAGAGTAGGGAGCAAGGAGGGAGTTCTTTTGCCTTCACTGGTCTGGAGGGCAGCCCAGGACGCTGCATTTTTAATTGTGCATCTCCCCCCATCCCGGTTCTGAAGCAGGTAAAGTCTGAAACACACTTTTTTAAAGCCCTGGCTACACTGTGACTGCACGGTGCCAAGCGATGCACAAGCAGCATGTATTATAACCCTCACCACAGTCCAGGGACCCAGAAAAAACACATACTTCCCCACTTTTAGAAGAGAAAACTGAGTCTCAGAAAGAGGAAGTCACTTTCCCATGATCGCATACGTTTACTCAATCCCTCCACAAATATTTATTGAGAACCAATTACTCTGGCAGGCCGGGGCTGTGACCACACCGTCTGGAAAGTTCCATCCGCTGAGCGCCTCCCGGCCTCCCCGCTCCGCCTCTCCGGCTGCAGTTTCCATGGTAACCGAGCTGCCCGCATCTCTGAGACCCGCGAGCGCGCTTGAGGGCCAGGGCAGAGCAATGGAAAGCAGAGCTGTCGAGCTGGGGAAGGGCGCGGTCCGGCGGAGGGCGCAGGCTTCTGAATCCCTGTTTGGGATCTGGGGACACCTGTTGGTAACAGCACAGTTTAAAATGGGCACAGTTTAATAAGTGTCTTTGCAGAAGTTGTTGCGGGAGGGGGAACCCGGCTGCGCGTGTCTCTGCAGACACGCGTGAAAGTCACAGGTGTCCGTTCCGCAGCAGCCTCCGGCGCCAGTGGTGGAAACAGCCTCTGTCCTCGCCAGTTATTAGTTATTTGACCGATTTATTCATTCAGCAGCTGTTTATAGATTACTGTTTGCCAGACACTGTTCTAGGTGGTGGAAATCTAAAACAGACATAGCCTTTGTTCTTATGGGAGTTGGCATCCTACTCGAAGATATTGTAAATAGACATTGATGTATGTAAATACAAGCACATACGTATTTATATATACATGATATATGCAAACATATAATATATAAGTATATATACACATATAGACACATATGTCTCTGATATAGTACTACAGTCTCTGGAAAGTAAAATACTGGGCTAAGGCACAGACAGTGACAGGTCAGAAACTATCGGGGAGTTTGCCAGGAAAGGTAGACCACCTCTCTCTGTTGACAGGTTGGTAGATTCTGTACATGCATGTCCCCCCAAAACTCAAATCTGAACTGTTCTCCTGGGACAATGTTGGACCCCAACCCTCCTAATACAAATCATTCCTAGTTTCTCCAAACCCTCCTACACTGTTGGTGGGAATGGAAACTGGGGCATTCACCATGGAAAACAGTATGCAGGTTCCTTAAAAAACTAAAAATAGACTTACTGTATGACCCAGCAATCCCATTCCTGGGCATATATCCAGAGAAAAGATACATGAACCCCTGTGTTCATAGCAGCACTATTTACAATAGCCAAGACATGGAAGCAGCCTAAATGTCCATCTACAGATGACTGGATAAAGAAGATATGATATGATATATATATCTATATCTATCTGTCTATCTACCTACCTATATGTATATTTATATATATTTGATGGGATACTACTCAGCCACAAAAAAGAACAAAGTAATACCACTTACAGCAACATGGATGGACCCAGAGATTAACATACTAAGTGAAGTAAGTTTGACAGAGTAGGACAAATATCGTATGATATCACTTACATGTGGAATCTAGAAAAATGATACAAATGAACTTATTTACAAAACAGAAACAGACTTACAGACATGGAAAACAGTCCTATGGTTACCAAAGGTGAAGGAGGGGATAAATTAGGAGTTTGGGATTAACAGATACACACTACAATATATAAAATAGATAAACAATAAGATCCTACTGTAGCACAGGGAACTATATTCAATCTCTTGTAATAGCCTATAATAGAAAAGAATCTGAATATATACATATATATATATATGTATGAGTCACTTAGCTGTTCATCTGAAACTAACACAACATTGTAAATCAACTATACTTCAATAAAAACATTCCTAATTTCTCCAGTACCCAACGTTAACAGATCAGATGAGATCCAGGTTTAGCTGAAGAGAAAACAGTACCCATAAAAGATGGAAGAAAAGAGGCTTCTTGTGTGAGAGGTTGACACTCCCTAGTTGATCAGTGACAGAGAATTTTCCTCTGTGGCTTTGTGACTTTCAAGAATCTGCACCCTTCCCAAATATCTACTTGATATTTCAAGGTGTCATTAAAAATATGCACACAGGGGGCTAGATTTATTCATGTAATACAGGATAAACAAGACAGACAAGGCCTATACTTTCATTGAGTGTCCACGGTCACGCAGGGACACAGAAAGCAAATGAGTAAGAAGCAAATTGACGAGATTACCTCAGACTCTGAAACTGTGCAAAAGAAATATGATGCGAGTCACAAATGCATACCACAGGAGCCATTTCATTTGTTTTGGGCTTTTGTTTTATTTGTTTGGGGGGGGTAAGTAGGTTTATTCATTGATTCATTCATTCATTTATTTTTAATTTAATGGCGGTACTGGGGATAGAACCCACGACCTCGTGCATGCTAAGCATGCACTCTACCACCAAGCTACACCCCAGCCCTCAGAGATGTCATTTAAAATTTCCCTGTAGTCATACTTAAAAAGACATAGGTGAAAGTCATCTTAACAGTAGGTTTTATCAAACCCTACATATGCAAAATATTACCATTTGAACCAATGACACCAATGTAAGAAAAAATGATCAGTGAAGTGTTTTACTTTGTTTCTTTGTAGGTTTTTGAAATCCCGCGTGTAGTTCACAATTACAGTGGATCTCAGCTGGGGCACTGAAATAGCCACAAGTGTCTTGCAGCGACCATACCGGAAAGCAGAGCTCTAAAAACTGCTGTGAAGAAAACCGTCAGGGTAAGGGGAACAGAATGACGATTGGGAAGGCTGGGTGAATACTTGGACAAGGTATTTTGCTCCAGGAAGTCTAGAAAGCAGCCTGGGAATTTGCCTGTCGACAAGCCTCCGCCTGCCCAGCTGATCCCCGAGGCACACCTAGGTGGTAAGGCCTGGGCGGAACCAGGTAACTAACCCTCCCCACAGCTCTGTCGGCTGGGAGTGATGGTTACAACCCTTTGCGGAAAGCAAAGTGAGGCGTCAGAGAGGTGAGACCGAAGACCCTTATATTTTCACTCGCTTGCAAATAACAAATACAGGCATTTATTGACCAGCTGCTTTGTGCCTCGGCTGAGATTTTGCACCCACAAATCTCGTGTGATTTGAGGCCCTGGAAAATTCCAGTCTCCCAGCCTCCCTCCTGTTGCACCTTCCTCACCCCTTTCTGTCTCCGACTCCAGCTGTAGTTTCCATGGCAACAGTTTCCATCGCTAACGTCAGTGGAGTACCCTTGAGGGAACCGAGGGATAGTCGACAAAAGAATAGACCAGACTGGGGACCGTGTGCCTGGGGGAGGGTGAAGCCCTGCAGCCCCTCCCCCATCCACAGTACTGGCCACGCAAGCCTTCAGGGCTCATTAAAAGGTCTCCGTGAATGGGGTTTTTGCAGAAGGACGAAAATAAAAGTGGCCATGCAAGAAGCCTCTAACTTAGGGAAACCGCAGGCTCACCGTCAGGCGGCTGCCGCAGGGCTGGTGACGTGCCCACTGTCTGTTCTCACTATTCAGCCACATCCCGTTCTTCCTCGGACACAAGATTGAGTGCCTGGGACACTGGGCCCTCGAACATAATTGTGAATACCATTTTGAAACACCCTTTACTATAAGGAATGCAGACAGGATTCAAAACTTCAAGGGTCTTTCTCCCCAACAAACACAAGGGTGAGGGTTCCCACTTAGCCTTATTTCAAAAAATTTGGGCACCTGTGTTCTGGTGCCCGTTAGCACCCAACCACCCGACGAAGCTAACAATAATTTGAATGAAACCGAAGAATTAACCATGACTCATGACCCAAATTACATTACTTTCAAGATTAGTGGCGGGGAAGGAGGGCGAGCAAAGGGAGACTGTCTCGGTGCGTTCAGAAATTGATTGCTGTTGATTTTGAGACAACACAATTACTAATCACAATTCGGAATCTCAGGACAGGTGCTTCCAAATGGGACTTTTGATGGCTGGGGAAATTCTCAGTAACTTGGTGCCTCAGGAAGGGAAGCAGATGGTGCCAGGGACAAAGGGTTGAACACCTGCTTGAGCAAATGTTTGCTTGTCTTTTTTTTCCCCCATGAAACTGTGTAAACTGTCAAGTGTTTTCTTCTAATGACTATGGGCCTTTTCACAGATTGTTTTTCTCAAAATCATGGCCATTCTGGCCCTAAAATATGGTCCTAAGTAGATGGCAGTTTAGAGAGGAGAGTTGGTGTGGAGGTTTGTGTGCAAAATAAACTCAAAAAGCGTTTCTCCTTGGGCAGAATTTATGTCCCAGTCCTCAGCAGAAGGGACAAAGAATGAAGAGTTCAGAGATCATGACGAACACCCATGCAGGTCGTTATTTTGAGATTCCCCAGCGTGTGGGCAAGTCATGAACCAGGCAGGGACACTGAGCCACACTCGCCTCTCCTGCTGGCGTCCCTCTGCTTGGTCATACGAAAACCTGAGTTTTTACCAACTCTACCTTTTAGTGTGTCACAGCTCAAAATAAACTCAACATTCTTCAAGAGGAGACTGGCTAAATAAATTCTGATGAATGCATTCGACAGAGTTCTATGCAGCTGTGCAAAATTCTAAGGAAGTTCTTTAGGGACCGAAAAAGCAAAATATACAGGGAAGTGAAAGCAAGGTGCAGAACAGTACGAAGGGGGGAAAGGAACATATACATACACATACAATTTAGTAATGTAATAATATATGACATTATCTAAAAATTATTAAATACATAATACACAAAAACTATACCTGTATATGGGTAGACTAGTTGTCACAACATGAGAGGGGCACTGGGTGACTGGCAGACAGGGGTGAGGTCTTAAGTCAATGCTATAGACTGATGAGTCTCCCCGAAATTCATATGTTAAGACTTAATCAGGGGAGCGTACAACTCAGTGACTGAGTGCATGCTTAGCATGCACGAGGTCCTGGGTTCAATCCCCAGCACCTCCATTAAAGAAATAAATTAAATTTTTAAAAAACCTAATTACTGTAGCTCCCCCAAAACAAAAGACTGATTAAAAAATAAATAAATAAAAATTAAAAAACAGACTTAACCCCCTATGTGATGGTATTAGGAGGCGGGGGCCTTTGGAGGTGATTAGTTCATGACAGTGGGGTACTCTGTTTTTTTTAATTGGCATATAGTTGATTTACAATGTAGTGTTAGTTTCTGGTGCACAGCCAAGTGATTCAGTTTTTTATATATATATGTGTGTGTATATATACACACACACACACACAATACATACGTGTATTCTTTTTCAGATTCTTTTTCGTTATAGGTTATTACGAGGTACTGGATCTAGTTCCCTGCGCTCTACAGTAAGACCTTGTTGTTCATCTGTTTCATATACAATCGCGAGTACGGGTTTGGTGCCCTTATGAAGCAGGCCCCCGGGAGCTCGCTCGCCGGTCGCAGTGAAGCAGGCAGCGTCCTCCCCAGACACGCACTGTGCCTTCCCCTCTCCCACACTTACTGATTCAGGGTTATCTGTGGGTTCTAACTTCAGTGGATGGGTGAGGATGTGTTACCCCCAGAATGCAGTTTTCCCCGGAACTGTTCCAGCTCTGAACGTGAGAACCCCTTCAAGCTGGTGTCTGTGTCGTTCTGACTTCCTTTCCCCCTTTTCAGTCATTCTTGACGTGCAGGCCTGAGATATTCCAGGTGCATGATGTGTTTTTCTTGCCCAGCTCTGCAATCAGCCGTTTCTCCAAGGAGCCCAGGTCTCTTGAGTGGAGAATGGTATTTGGAAACCAGGGTCTCCTCTTTCATACGTCATGTCTGGGAAAGTAGGTTTTATCCTAAAGGCAGCAGAGTTTTGACTAGAGGAGGGAGACAGGCACACTTGCACGTTAGAAAGGCCACTTCAGCTGTGAGTGTGGCAAATAGATGGGTGACCAGAGTTCCCCAAAATACAGCCCTTTTTGTACCATCGTGATGATTTTTGCTGTGTTATGAGATACTTAATACCTTCCTTTCCTTTCAAATTGCTGTCTGTTATACCTGGAAGATAAACTCTCTTTGAAAGGAACTTTGAATCACTACTGTGAATGGAAACACCATTTTGTCTTACCATGGAAAATAAAAACAGGCATACGGGAACTCACACACACACACACACAATGTTGTTTACCATCCGTCAGACCCCACTGCCGGCCAAAGCTCTGGGCCTAGGATCTGCTTTCGTTTGTTTGTTCACAGGAGATACTGATGATCAGCATGATCAAAGACGTTCAGAACAAACTAAGACGTTGTCCTTCATGGGATGTGAAGGCCCCAGAGATACTGAAAAGGTAATTTTTTCTTTGCTTCTTTTGATTCAAACATTATTTAATGCCATCTGTCTATCATCTTATTTAATCTCTTGAGAACACTGAGGGTGGGGGGGCATGTCACACGCCGGGCAAACATCGGGCAGGGGACTGAAAAGCGGTGAGGGGAGGAGTCACAAATCCGGTGTGTATTTCCGTCCAGTGTGGAGAGAAGGCAAGCGGGCATTTGGGAGCCAGCTGCAGACGAGGGTTCTGGGGGCAGAGTCAGCAGGACCTGGGATGGGGTTTAGGGAAAAGGGCTGAGTCAGGAGGGCTTGGGGCTCGAGTACTTTGTGGGTGGCAGGGACCCCTAGAGGTAGGCCAGACGGGGGAGCTGGAGGGGGCTCCTGGGAGTTAGTCATTGTCATCCAAGTGGGTATAATTATGGGATGGACCAGGGTGCAGGCACAGGGCTTGGAGAACAGACTGGACAGCTTTTTTTTCAGTAGAGGGAGATAGTATGGGGTAGATCCAGGTAGATAAAGGGAGGAAAGATTAGAAATCCACTTCTGAACCCAAGGATCTACATATAAATTATTGAAATTGGCCAGACAAGTTGGCAAGATGGAGGGGCAAAGGGGCAGATGTGACATCTGCAAAGTGTTTAGGGCAAGCCTTGTCATCGCGTTCCCAGTCGCACACGGGACGTCTCTGGTACTTCATGGCGGTTTCTACGTCGGCTGTGGTTTGTTGCTAGTTTCCTAAACTGGCTCAGTAATGGATGGTGACTTTACCAAACTCTTTTTTTTTTTTCATTCCTGATGAGTCAACTAGATCATGATGTGTTACCTCTGCACATCTTGTTGGAGAGAGCAGGGAGCATTTTGTTTAGGACTTTTATACTCCTATTTATGATGAGATAAGCCTGCCATTTTCCACTCTAGTAAAGCCCCCGATAGATCAAAAATAAAAAAAGAAATCTGCTTCTGAGCAAGCATGCATGATCAGGATTAAGAAGCCATTTAGAATTTTCACACGAGGTCCAGTGACTGATGGGCCCTCAGCTTCCCAGAATTCCATGCAATTTCCGTTGTGCTAAATGCCAGGACGGATTCCAGGCAGAATAAACATCTGTAGCCTAAGGAATTGAACAAGATTGTGGAAGTGCCCGCTCCCACACCTAAGGAGTGGTAACTGTTCTTGCAAATTATCATCCCTAGACTATCCTGTTAGCCTGCTTTTTCCCCTAAGGAGTCAGGAGGGAGGGGCTGACCAATCCTGCAGCCTCATTAGTTTGCTTTTAAGTCTTTCAATGGATTGGATAAAGTCCATCAACAATATGGCAGGTAGCTGGCTTTAAGTCAACTGATTTAAATGTTAATCACAGCTGCAATGTAAAATATCTTTGATAATATATTACATAGAAATGTATCATCTATAACATATTACATAGAACTATATATCTATAACATATTCTATTGTTATAACATAAATTATTATAATACAAATTTATCTTTCCTATCGGTTCTGTCTTGGGAGCCCAGACTAATCCACAGGCCTACGTTGATGGTGATCTGATCTAGAGAAAGAAATATGTACACAGTATTTTTTTTTCATTTTTCATTTTCATTGGGTAGAATTGTTACAATTTGACTGCACATATGAAATATATTGCATGTAAATACATATACAGAATATACTGCACATATGTTTTAATTTACATATTTAGAGCTTCAGCTTTTTAAACTTACATAGTTACCAAAGGAATAAAGCCAACCACAAAGTAAGAATTAATTCAAAAAGATACATACACCCTGCTATTAACAGCAACATTTTTTATAACTGCCAAGATATGGAAGCATCCTAAGTGCACATCAACAGATGAATGGATAAAGAAGATGCAGTACATATGTATGTAATGGAACACAGCTCACCCGTAAGAAAGAAGGATATTTTGCCATTTGTGGCCCTTCGTTCACTTCTTTTTTCTTTTCACTTCAAAAACCAGAATTTTATAACTGGCATAAACAATTCCATTGCATGAAAACAACAAACTACCTAGAAGTAAATTTAACCAAGGAGGAAACCTATACTCTGAAAACTGTAAAACACTGATGAAGGAAACTGAAGCGTACACACTATTTTTGAGAAGTGCATCGAACAGGGAAAAGACGAAGTTGATTCAGGGGGACGTGCAGATGGACTGGATGCAGGGGTTCCAGAGAAAGAGATGAATAAGGAATTACTTCTGGGCTTTCATCTTAAACAACCTGCTCGATCATGAGAGCACTTACTGATACAGGCCAGCCAGGAGCACGAGAGGGAGAGATGAATGTGGCTACGGTAATTACCCGAGGAGTACGTGTAGGCGGTGTGCACAGGCTGGGGGCAGCGGAAATGGAGAAAGAATTGGAGGGATATAATGAGAGACAGCGTGAAGAGCGTACAAGCACCGAGCGCTCGTGCTCAGGGAGAGAAGGCAGTGAGGATGCTTACCGCCCCCTCGGTGGCCAGATAGCTCGCACGTCATCGACGGAATTTTCCACTGAGCTACAGGCCAGGCCACATTCCAAGAACTGTATACATCTCCCCTGTAATTAAGGATGGGGAAGGCTTCTCCTAGACACAAAATAATGTGGACCGTATTTCGGAGACATCTGTTTAAAATCACAGTTGTCTGAATACCCACCTGTTTAGCAAATTATCCCTGGATTCAATCCACCAGTTTTCATCCAAATTCGAGGAACTGACAACACTGACTTTTATAATCTGCAGGCTTTTGTTTATTTAGGAGTGTTAAGCATGGTGTCTGGCACACAATAAGTCCCCATGGAATGCTTCTGGAATCAATTTCCCTAGTGTAGTCAAAAGGAAGGAAGCATCTCGTGTTACCCGATTTGTACCCTCTTTTTGAAAATGTAGAGATCTAGTTTGCACTTACCGAAGTACATGTCTGCATGCGTATATGTAGAGGCATATCCAAAAAGAAGTTGATAAATTCGGGTAAATGTTAACCTTCGTTGTTTGGATTCTGTGCACTGGATGGGATGCTAAAAGCTTCTTTAGGGTCCCTGAATAGGCAGGAGCTTCTAAACTCCATTTTACGGATGAGGGAACTGAGGCTTGGAGAGACTAACTCACGTAGCAGCGAACACCCTTAAACACTTTGCTCAAACAGCTAACACCCCCCTTAGCTGTGTCTCCACCTCCTGACACTGGTCTTTAGTCACATCACCCCTCGGGGAGGGGGTCTCATTTGCAGGCTCCTGACTTGAATCACAAACATACTGGTGGCTCCAACATGCATACTCGGGTTAGAGCACTCAGAATAGAGTTAAAATACAGGATACCCAATCAAACATGAATTTCAGATTAAACAGCCAATAATTTTTTTTTAGTTTTTTTTTTTTGCGGGGGAGGAGGTTTATTTATTTACTTACTTTTTTAAGAGGAGGGGCTGGGGATTGAACCCAGGACCTTGTGCATGCTAAGCATGTGCTCTACCACTGAGCTCTACCCTCCCCTCAAACAGCCAAAAATTTTTAATAAACTTTGAATTTTAAGATAGATTTGACTCTGGGGGAAAATAAATCTGCAAAGACAGCAGAGAGAGTTCCCATGGAGTCCGTGCCTGGTTTCCCCTATTATGAGCATCTTACGTTAATATGACTTGTCACAATTAATGAACTAATAATCATACGTTAGTATCGGCTCAAAGTCCCTGCTTTATTCAGATTCTCCTTGTTTTTACCTAGTGTCTCTCTTCTGTTCCAGGACCCCACGTGACATTTAGTCGTCAGGTCTCCTGAGCCCCTCTTGGCTGTGACCGTTTCTCAGACGTTCTTTGTTGTTGAAGACCTTGACAGTGTTAAGGACTAGTCAGGTATTTTGCAGCGGATCCCTCCGCTGGGACTGTCTGATGTATTTCTCATGATTCCAACTAGGGTTACGGTGTTTGGAGGAAGGTGACCACGGGGGGAAAGTGCCACGGTTATCCCACTGTATCAAGAGGACACACCGCTGAGGGTAACCAGGGGCACCTGGGAGAGGCAGTGTGGGCGAGTTTCTCTGCTGTGAGGTTCTCCTCTCCTTGTCTCTTCCCACATTGTACTCTTTGGGGGGAAGGGGGTTCATGAGGCTTATTTGTTTATTTGTTTATTTATTTATTTTTTAAAAAACCTTTTTTAATGAAGATACTGGGGATTGAACCCAGGACCTCGTGCCTGCTCAGCACGTGCTCCACCACTGAGCTCTACCCACCCCCCCTAAATTGTACTCTGGGAAGATGTCACCAGGCACAGCCTGCTCTTAAAAAGTAGAGTTATGCCCGCCACCTTGGGGGTGGAGTATCTACATAAATTACTAGGAATTTTTCTGTACAGGAAATTTTTCTCCTTAACAAAAATTTTTTTCCAGTGTATGTCTCATGCAACATGTGAGACATACTTATGCTTAAAACTTGCATATTTTTTTAATCTGAAATTCAAATTTAACTAGATACCCCCCCTTTTTTTTTTCTGAAAACCCAACCCCAGACCCATATATCTATCTGCAGTTTTGACATCTCTACTTGGGTGTCTAACAGGCACCTCAAAATAACAAATCCAAATCTAAGCCACTGAAATCCACCTCCCCCACCCAACCAGCAGTTGCTGCACTGCTGCTCAAGGCCTAGAACCTGGGAGCCGTCTTTGATTCCTTCTCCCACATCTGATAACCAGTCCATTGGGAAGTCAGGTCCAATCCTCCCCCGAAAATACATCTAAAAATTCAGCAACTCCTCACCAAGCCCAGTGTCCCTGCCCTGGTCCGTGCCACCAACAGCTCTTGCCTGAGTGGCTGCAGGAACCCACCACCCCCTCAAACCTACTTTCCCAACCTCCATCCTGGCCCCCTGAGTCTATCTCCAACACGGCAAAATCGGCTAGTTACCCTGAATGTGAGTTAGAGGCTGTCCTTCCTGTTTAAGGTCCTCCTGTGCTTCCATCTTGCTCAGAGCAAAAGCCAAAGGTGCTGGCTGACACCTTACAGGCTTCTTCGCTCTCTGTCCGCAGTTCTGCTCCCTTGACGCTGACCTCTCTCCTCTCCCTTCAGGCCACTCCGGCCACACCGACCTCCAGCAGGCCGGCCGTGGCCCCCCTGTACTGCTGCTGCTCCTCTACCAGGAACACAGTCTGGCTGGCTTCTCTGTGTCTCCAAGGCCCCCTCCCCTACGCAGAGACGCCTTTCCTGGATACCTGAAATTTCTCCCCTCTGCATTTTGGGTTTTTTTCCCCCCGTTTTGTATTAATTTCTCCTGAGGAGGCGAAAAGCAAGCCCTGACATGCGGGAGCTTGGTGTTCTGTGAAACAGCAGCCAACACGAGTGTTTTCCAGGAACATCAGCCTCAGAAAAGGCCACTCAGCCACCTCGGTGGATCAAGGCACAGACAGAAGTGACCACAGTCCTCTCTCCTGGCCGGTACTGCTTCCCAGCCGATTCCAGCTCTCGCCTTCCTCCAGTGACCCTCCTCCAGGAGATTTATCAAGAAACTCAGTCATAGAAACACCCTGGCTTCCTGACGGCGTCCAATCTAGAAGAAAGCCCAGCTTCCCGAAGCTCTCCTCAAAATCCCCTAGCTCGAACCCAAGTCCTATCCTAGGCTGTTCCTAACGCGAGCTTGCGCACAGCTTCCTACCGCGTGCCGCCTCCCTCGTTTTAACCAACGTGTTCAGCCGCGGGCGTCTTCCCGCAGCGACACTCCTTAACATTCAGCACTACCAGCGTAAATACTTCTTTTTATCACGCGCATTGTCTTAAGCTCTTTTTTTTTTTTTTGGTCGGGTAGATAATTAGGTTTACGTAGTTATTCTTAGAGGAGGCACTGGGGACCGAACCCAGGACCTCGTGCGTGCCAAGCATGTGCTCCGCCACTGAGCTGTACCCTCCCCCCGTGTCTTAACCGCTTGAGAACGGCGGCTGGCGAGGTGAGGGGGCCGCGGCTTTCTGCAAGAAAGCACCCAGGGGGCGAGTTCAGAGGCAGAAGCGCGCCGGCGCGGGCCCCGAGGCCTGGGCGCCTGTGCTCCCCGCCTCCCCCTTCTCGAAGCCCCCGTGTCCCCCCCTCTGGGAGGTATTTCCCTCTTTGGGAGGGAAGGGGGGAAC